TACGTTTGCATGTCTTACTATCAGCCATGATTATTCTACTCGGTTTATTAAAGGGCTGTTTATATGCATATTCACTAATTATGAGAAGCATACATGTAAGAGGCTGACAATTACCTGAACATATACGTGTTTAATTAGTAACACTAAGCCTGCATTTTAAAATCTTTATTTGAATGTGGCAACATTTGAATTTTTAAACATTTATCTTTACTCTAAAATATTTCTATGAATAAATCTCTGACAGAGACTATCAGCCAATCACTGCATGCATAGTTAGTAAGCATACCGACATCATCCATAGCAACGAGGTCAACCCCACCCTTAATCTTAGCTTCAGACTTCTCTCTATTCCTTAGTAAAAGTTTGTCTCAGCAGCTTTGTGAATAGGTTTTATGAGAAAACTCTTAGCTAAAAACTTTTACTGCTATTTAGGAGAACTCTTAGTGGTAAGATAAAATGTTTTGTGAATACGGGCCCTGATCTTTTAACATATAGGGTAGTTTTGTCAAAAGTACCGACTTCGGTACCAGTCCGTACTGACATTTTAAAAATGTCAATTTCAGCTAAAATTTGAGCGCTGTTGAGCCAATTCTTAAAATCAACGTTTTTAAAATTTCAGTACCGACTAGTACCCAAGTAGGTCCTTTTGACAACACTTATATTGAATTATATATTACTACAATATGGTAAATATCACAAGGACAGCATTAATATTAAATTAATAAATTAGAGAATGATACTTACATCATCATCCTCATTAAAAACAGATGCAAGTCCAGCTTTCTTGGCAGGTAAGGCAGGTGTGGGTTCTTTAGGTTTCTAAAAGAGAAGAAGCAATAAAATGCAATATTTAAATGTTCAAAATTAAAAACTCAAACAAGCATTATTTTTAGTTCAGTAGATCAGAGATCAGTAGTATATAGACCAAGTATATATATATATATATATATATATACAAAATAACATTGTATCTATCTATCTAAATATCTACACACACACACACACACACACACACACACACACACACACACACACACACACACACACACACACACA